CTATATTGAATAATTGTTGCTTAATTTTTTTGTATAGTTCCTCTGAGGCTATTAGGGTAAGAAAGAGTGTTGTGCAGCCCCAATGCTTTAAAACTGAATTTGCTTATGATAAATGTGAAATACAGAGTTAACACGGAATAAAAAAAAATAGGATGAACTGAATGTGTAACTTACCCGGGCTTTACAGGCTTGGGTGGCGGAGGCCCTTTCTTATTCTTGGCAGAGCAGACTGAGCAGGACTCATCTGAACAGCTGCTCCCCGATGAACCTGACGGGGACGACTGGAAACCACACATATTTATTTATATTAAGCAATACTTATATAAACTGCGTGTAGTGGTAGTGTTAAGAATATCCACTAAGTCACATCCCGTGGGTGTCGTGATAGTCGACAGAGGGCAATTGTAACAGGAGATGGGCAGCAGCAACTCAAAATAATAATAATTAAAAAAAAATTATACAACCGACTTCAATACAAATTATTAAGAATAACTCAAAAACTTATTGGTCAGACCTTGATCAAATTTATATGGGATCTACTAGCACCAGCTTTCGAATAAAAAAAGAATCATCGAAATCACATTAAAAAAAAAACATACAGTCGAATTGAGTACCAGCCATTTTTTGAAGTTGGTAGAAAAAGATAACAGATCTACAGAACTATGGCAGAATCTTATTTTAATTATTTATTTAATTACAACGGTTTTTAATCCAATTACAGTAATTAATAATTTCGAAAGGCACATGAGACTAAACCATGCTATAACTAAATTAAACTAAACTTGGAAAAAATCTCACAATTACATTTTTTTTAATGTTAGGCTGTTTAGGGTGAACATTTGCAAAAAAAGTATAAAAAAAATCATAACTCGAAAACTACAAAAAATCGCGGAACATACATAGGGTATTTTCGGATACCCCTAGGTGTGAGGAATCAAAAAAAAAATTTATAACCTCACTGTTTGGAACAATCTGTAAGTATGTATGTATACATAATGTATATATATCGATATATATATCGATATATATATATACGGAGTGACGAAAAAGTTATCACATAAAATGAAAAGACGTATGCTACATAAATTTCTTTAAACATACACAACTAAAAAAATATATAACAATTAATACATTAGCCGCGGTAGCATTTTTTTCGTTTCAATATTAAATAACATCATGTAAATGCATACAGATATCACCTGATGAATTCTAGAAGGTCAAAGACCCATGCCATTTCAAGGCGAATATAGGTAGTTTAAAGGTTATCAAACCTAACTACTCAAATAAAGAAAAAATCAAACAAAAACTGCACTTACGGCTAACAATTTAAGGCATAATTTTATGCGCGAAATTAAAAACAAAGGGAACGCACGCTGCAGGCGTATGAAAACAAAGTCAAGCGAAAAATTTACTTAAAATAATGAAGTTAAGGCATAATTCTCTACGCGCAAAGTGACAAGAAATGGGATCGGGTGTTAATATAAATTATTATTTTTCTGGCGCGTGTGACGTTTTGTAAGTCACTTCAGGTCAGTAACCTATATATCAAGGCTGATTTATTTCTTGTCAATATTTTACCCTATTTATTTTGTTTGAAAAATGCATTTTTTATTTTCTTTTATTATTGTTTATTTTATTATTTTAACAGACATATATCAACTTGTATTAACTGCTGTGCTATTTAACGTGATAACCTCGGCGCCACCCAGTATATATATATATATATATATATATATCGATATATTTTTTCCCTTGGCCATCCCTAGCGTGTGCGGTTGTCGGTGACGGGTGTGTGTAGTGTGGTGCAGTGGTGACCGACCTGGCGGGGCGCGGGCGGCGAGGGCGGGCGCGGCGCGCGCTGCGGGGGCGGGGGCGCGGGGCGCGCGCGCCGCCTGCGCGGGCTGCTGCGCCCCGCACTGCGTCTGCACACAACACATTCTCTAACTGCTGGGAACAACTTAACAAACATTTATTTACCACAGGTGTTACGGACAGTCCCCTGTGCAGGGCATGTATGGGGGAGGAACGGCGGCCCACGTGTAGCTGACGTGTCCGGAAGTCGCTGTATACAGGGCTAAACATCTCGGCACGCCGGGATCACTCCCCGAAGTTGTTTGCAACATCAAAGGACTGTTGAACTTCTTCCGGTAGATTTTATGGCTAGAATAAATACCTGCTGTTTATGCCCAAATTTGGTTATGTTTGAACGCCACCGAATTGCGTTAGAGCTGGCGCCTCACCCCATGGTATGTAGGTGAGATAAGCGCCGAGGTGGGGCGACCGTGCGCGGCTGAGTGGCAGCCAGTGGCTCGACGCGTGGGCTAAAGATCGGTACCCGGCCAGCCCAGAGGCGGGGAGACCGTCAGGCCATCTTGCCTAAATTCACGGCCCGTCGTGAATCTAGATAGCTGGATGAAGTACGTGCTTCTTCGTCACGTAGATATGTGAATTGTGCGATATTTAACTCGCGCGAGAGTGAGGAATAGTGTACGCGCGTCTA